AGTTGAACACATGGCCTATTTCCGTGCTGTATGTCTCTATAACATTTACGCCTAGCCCCTAAAGACCTTTGAGTTTTTTTGAGGAAGTGACAATCAAGTTTGTGAGACACCACCTTCTCCACACGAAGCCATGCTGCCTATCGCTAATACATCCATATTTTTCCAAATGTCAGTCAATGATTAGTAAGTTTGCAGATGACACCAAAATTGGAGGTGTAACTGGACATCCAAGAAGGTTACTTCAGAGTATAATGGGATCTTGATCAGATGGACCAATGGGCCAAGGAGCTGCAGATGGAGTTTAATTTAAATAAATGTGAGGGACTGCATTTTGGAAGGGCACATCAGGGGAGGAGTTATACACTTAATGGTCAGGTCCATTATTCACGTCCAAATCATTTATTTAAAAGACAAAAAAGCAGCAGACACAGCACCGATCCTTGTGGCACACCACTGGTCACATACCTCCAGTCTGAAAAGCAACCCTCCTGCACCACCACCACCCTCTGTCTCCTACCTTCAAGCCAGTTCTGTATCCAAATGACTAGGTCTCCCCGCATTCCATGTGATCTAACCTGGCTAATCAGTCTACCACGTGGAACCTTTTCGACCACCTTAATGAAGTCCATTCAAATCATGTCCAATGTTCTGCCTTCATTAATCCTCTTTGTTACTTCTTCAAGAAATTCAATTAAGTCAGAAGGGAAGTATTTTTTTTAAATACATTCACCGAATAAGGGTGGTGCTGGCTAGGCCAGCATTTATTGCCCATCTGTAATTGCCCAGATGGCAGTTAAGAGTCAGCCACATTCTACGGGTTGGGAGTCACATGTAGGCCAGATCAGATAAGAATTGAAATTTCTTTCCCAAAAGGACATTGGTGAACCAGATGGATTTTTCTGACCATCAATAATGGATTCCCGGTCAAGTCGCACATGACTCTCTGTAATACCTGAGCCTTAAAAAAAGCAAATTATTTTCTCCCATCAGTAAGTTGTAACCCTATCACAGCTGTTGCCTTTAACTAGTAACTGAGAGACTTTGGTCTGTGTGGGTCTAGATCCACAGCAATGTGATTGATTCTGAACTGACTTCAGAGCAATTAGAGATGGGTAATAAACACTGGCCCAGCTAGTGATACCCAAACCTGTGAATGATTTAAACAAAACCTGGAGACAGGAGTTCTGTGTGCAGATGCAGGGATTCTAACGAGGTTTTAAAAGAGCTTCTACAAGGGGGCTTCCAAAATGATCACCTTCTTTCTCCAAGAAGATTTCCCCACCCTGTGGTTGACAGGGCCCTCAGCTGTGTCCGACCTACCTTCCACACTTGAGCCCTCATCCCCTCTCTTCCCTCCCACAACAGCAATAGGGTCCCCCTGGTCTTCACTTTCCATTCCACCAGCACTGACATCCGAAGGATAATTAGCCGCCATTTCTGCCACCTCCAGTGGGATGCTATCACCAGACATACATTCTCCTCTCCTCCCTTGTCAGCCTTCTACAGGGATTGTTCCCTCAGACAGCTTGGTCCACTCCTCCTCCATTCCCCACACTCCAACGGCACCTTCCCATGCAATTGCAGAAGATGCAACATTGTAACATTATTTCCTCCTTCCTCCATATCCAATTCCCCAGACACATCTTCCAGGTGAAGCAGTGATATATCTGCACTCCACTCAATCTAATCTACTGTACTTGCTGCTCACAATGTGGTCTGCTCTACACTTGGGAGACGAAATACACTGAGCGCACACCTTGCAGAATAACCTATGCTTTGATCACGAAAATGACCGAGTTTCTTGTTCCCTGCCGCATCGACACACCACTGTTCTCCCTGGCCGACATCTGTGTATCAGGCTTGCTGCAGTGCTCCAACGAAGCTCAGCACAAGCTGCAAGAACAGCATTTCATCTTCCATTTAGGTACTCTGCAGCCTTCTGGACTTAATATCAAGTTCAACAATGTTAGGGTCTGAACACCTTTTCCCATGTCCTTATCCCAATCCCCTTCACACCAGACCTTGTCATCACATCGACTGCTATCGTTAACAATCCATTGTCACCATGAGCAGCTACTGATTCTCCCAGGCTGACCTTTACACATTCCTTTATTTGCCCAACTATTTTCCTCTCTGTTTGGGCTTCATTTCCACATTATTTATTCCTCCTTTCTCCCCCACCCTATCTTCGGCATATATTCCAACTTTTGCCTCGCTACAATCAGTTCTGGAGGGGGGGGTCACTGGACCCAGAACATTAACTCCACTTTCTCTCCACAGATGCTGCCAGGCCTGCTGAGGTTTTACCATGATTTCTGCTTTTGTTTCTGATTTCTAGCACCTACAGTTGCTTTTGTTTAAGAGTTTTAATTAGTAGAACCATATATTGATAGACCAAGCTACTTATGACTAGAATTTATTTGTAATAGACAATAATTCTTAAGTATAGGAACCTGGTCAGTGATTTTTCCCTGACTCCATCCAACAGGTAAATTGGGGACTTTGCTTGTTTTGATTAAATGGTTAACTCTTTTATTACCCAGGAGTAGAGGGGCTTAAGTATCAGCGTACCCCCTCAAGCCGTCGTAGCAAAATGCATAGGAACAGCAGACAGGTTTGTCAGAAGCCCATAGTGTTGAGGGATGTGCGGGCTACATGGATTAGCCATGTGAAATGCAGGTTTATAGAGACAGGGTGGTGGGTGGGTCTGGGTACGATGCTCTTTGGAGCGTTAGTGTGGACTTGATGGGCTAAATGGTTCCACACTGTAAGGATTCTAAGTAGTAGTCAGTACTTTGAAGGCATCTAGCTGTCACCAGAGGTCAACAGTTGCCATGGTCCAGCACACTCGGTGCTTACTGGATGTGCACATGAATCTGCATTCTATTACTCTAGCCAAAGGAGCTCAGCATCAGTGACAAGGCAAGCAGGATGAAGGACCTACACCCTGATTTCAGGTGCCTCTCCCTCTCAGGGAGATAGGGTGGTGCCAGCACAGAGCCACTCAAGACTCCGACATGCATGTTTGCAGAACATTCCAGAGATCCTGCTCCTGGACTTCCCTAATACTACAGGAATTCCAGGCTGGAGCAAGAACTTTTTCTCTTGACAACAGGATTTCAATTTTTTTTTCTGACTATATTTTGCCAATTTCTTTGCTGTCGGCCATGTTGCTCCAGGGAGTACTTGTGCATTGGGATACAGGAAGTTAGAATTTGGTGTTTGGGGGGGAAAGCATTGTGTGGTTCCTTTAAAAGATGATGTGCTTTTTCTGTGCTTAGAAATTTAAAATGGATGTCTGAGAGGAGCAGCTTGAAGTTTGCAAGTACACAGAGGGCACCCGAATTGAAACATTTGTATTGTAAGGTCATACAGCTAATGGGCCAAGCAGCAATTTTTTTACCAAGACAACAGGTTTTTGAATTTAGCCAATCAATTTGAACTACATACTTAGATACCAAAAAACCTATTAAATTTAAGTCTGATGGTTTTGGCAACATAGGACCAATCCTATTGTAAGAAATATTGATATGTTATCAAAGGTATAAAAAAAGGGGCAGTTGGACACCCCAGACCTAGCTGCCATCTGCCACAGCTAACAACCCTCAGCTCTCAACAGAGAATCGCTGGCTCTCACAGCCTCCCCTATGTCTTACAGAAAACACCATCTAAATAACAACGGTACCAACGGCACAACTAGTTAATATTCCTGACAGAAGAGCCAACAGAGAAGGCACAGAACATTCCGGAAGACACGTATGGTTGTAATTTTGACAGACTAAATTTGCTGTTGTTTATATAAGTGGGACCCGTATTTTTTGGAACAGCATACCATTAGAATCTTGTTTCATTTGGGAATAGTTACTAGTTAGAAGGGGTTTATTTGGTTTGTTAATAGTTTAGTTAATTTGTTCACTGTTAGTTAGATAAATAAATTGGTACATGTTGATTTTAAAGTGAGTGTCAGGGATTTATTTTATTTAACCACTAGTAGTTGCTGAAAGGCAGGTTACACCACTTTTCACACTCCTTTTACAGAGTATGGGGCAAGGCACTTCTCTTTGGGTGTTTTGGTTTTAGTTCTCAGAGGGGAGGTCAACCTCTGCTTTATAACAAGGATGATAAATAAGAGAAGAGCCCATGGTGTTAGGGGCAAGGTACAAGCATGGACAGAGGTTTTGGAGCAAATTACTGTAGATGCTGGATTCTGAACTGAAAACAAAAAATGCTGAAGATCACAACGAGTCAGGAACCATCCATGGAGAGGAAAGAAAGCTAGTGTTGAGTCTAAGAAATAGCAAGAATGGCAGATGCTGTAAGTCAGAGTCAATACAGTATGGAGCTGGAGGACCACAGCAGGTCAGGCAGCATCAGAGGAGCAGGAAAGTCAACGTTTTGGATCGGCACCCTTCATCAGGACTGACGGAGTCTAGATGACTCTTCGTTAGAATCATAGAATCCCTACAGTGTGGAAACAGGCCCTTCGGCCCAACAAGTCCACACCGACCCTTGGAGCATCCCACCCAGACCCATCCCCCTATAACCCACACACCCTGAACGCTATGGGCAATTTAGCATGGCCAATCCACCTAGCCTGCACATCTTTGGACTGTGGGAGGAAACCGGAGCACCCGGAGGAAACCCACGCAGACACAGGGAGAATGTGCAAACTCCACACAGACAGTTGCCCGAGGCTGGAATCGAACCCGGGTCCCTGGTGCTGTGAGGCTGCAGTGCTAACCACTAAGCCACCATGCTGCCCCAAACTGGAGTGAAGTGTAGAGGTGCCAGCATTTATGCAATGGGGGGTGCAGTTAGAGTGCTGGGGAAGAAAGAATATTGATAGCTCAGATTAAGTGACTGGAATGTGAAAAATGCAGAACAATGATGTGTCTAACTGGCAGACTAGAAAGAACAGACAATCCCGATGGGGTGGGGGAAGGGGAGGGGAGACAGGGTGACAGAATGAAACAAGCAAAGTTAATAGGGAAGGAATGGATTCACAGTTTGAAGGTGCTGAACTCAATATTGAGCCCAGAAGGTTGTAAACCGCCTAGTTTGAAGACGCGATGTTGCTCCTGTAGTCTGCGCTGTGATTTGCTACAGCACTGCAGCATGCTGAGGGCAGACAAGTAGGCACGCGAACAAGATGCTGCTGACTGGCAGAAGGCAGCGAGTAGTGATCAAAGGGTCTTTTTTAGGATGGCAGTCAGTGACTAGGGGAGTTCTGCAGGGATCAGTGCTTGAACTTCAACTATTCACGCTATACGTTAATGATCTGGACAAAGGAACTGAGGGCATTGTTCCAGATGAAACAAAGATTGTGGAAGCACAGGTAGTGTTGACGGAGAAGGGAGGCTGCAGAAAATCTTGAACAGGTTAGAAGAGTTGGCAAAAAAGTGGCATATGGAATATAATGGGGGAAACTGTGAAGTTAGCACTTTGGTAGGAAGAACAGAGACGTAGACTATTTTCTAAACGGGGAAAGGCTTTGGAAATGTGATACACAAAGGGACTTGGGAGTCCTAGTTCAAGATTCTCTTCAGGTTATCAATGAAGGTTCAGTTAGCAGTTAGGAAGGCACATGCAATGTTCGTATTCATTTCAAGAGGGCCAGAATACAACAGCAGAGATGTACTGCTGAACCTGCATAAGCTCTGGTCAGACTGCGTTTGGAATACTGAGAGCAGTTTTAGGCTCCATATCTAAGGCAGGATGTGCTGGTGTTGGATGGGGTCCAAGGTAGTTTACAACAACGATCCCTGGGATAAAGGGCTTGTAACTTGTGGAGCCGGTAAGGACTCTGGGACTGTGATGGAGTCAAGAAGGATGACAGGGGATAATTGAAACATACAGAATACTGATAAGCTTGTACAGTGGACGTGGAGAAGATGATTCCACTAGTAGGAGAGACTAGGACATGAGGGCACAGCCTCAGAGTGAAGAAACGACCCTTCAGAACGGAGATAGGGAGGAATTTCTTTAGCCAGACGGTGGCAAATCTGTGGAACTCAACGCCACAGAACGTTATGGAGGCCAAGTCACTGAATGCATTTAAGTCAGAGATAGATAGGTTCCTGATTGATAAGATGATCAAGGGTTACATGGAGAAGGCAGGAGAATAGAGTTGACAAGCATATCGGCTGTGATTGATGGCCTGAAAGTCCTAATTCTGTTCCTATACCTTATGATCTTATCCAGTAGAAAGCAATCAATTTGATTGGCACCACATCCACAGATGTTCATTCCCTCTACCACTGATGCACAACAGCAGCAGTGTGTACTATCTACAAGATGCACTGCTGAAATTCTGCCACAGATCCCTAAACAGCACCCCCAAAACCCACAACAATTTACATTTAGAAGGACAAGGACAATGGATATATGGGAATACCACCACATGCAAGTTCACCTCCAAGCTACTCAGTGCTCCTCAACTATCATTGGGTACAAATCCTGGAAATCCCCAGGGACATTGTGGGTCTATCTAAAGCATATGGATTACAGCAGTTCAAGGCAACAGTTCACCACCTTTTTCTCAAGTGCAATTAGGGATGGGCAATAAATGGTAGTCGACCAGTGACACAAGTCCAAGAACATAATAAATTTTAAAGAAATTCCCTATGTTCCTTCATTTCCCAGGGACCTGCCAACTGTCGAGTACGTCCTGGTCTTGCCACTTTTGCCAAAAACGTATCACTTTACACTATCAGGGTTATGCTCTATTTGTCACTGATTAGTCCGATCCTTCTATTTCTTCCTGCAGCCTAAGGCCTTCTCCCTCATTGTCAACCCCCAGCCAATCTGCACTGAAGAAGGGCCACTGGATCAGAAATGTTAACTCCGATTTCTCTCCACAGGTTCTGTCAGACCTGCTGAGATTCTCCAGCAATTTCTGTTTTTGTTTCAGCCTATCTTCATGTCAACCACAAACTTACCATCACTCCCACACTTCCTCCTATATAGTATACATACATCACGAGCACGGATCCAGGTGGCATGCCACTGAACACCAGCCTCCAGTCACACAAACATTATTCTACCACCACACGGCCTCCTACCACTGAGCTAATTTTGGGTCCAACTTGCCAGGTAACCTTAGATCACGTGCTTTTATCTTCTTAATCAGTCTCCCTCCCTCTGACAAAGCTGTGCTGACTATTTGTGATTCAAACCATGCCTCTCCATGCAAAAATTAATTGTCCTTCAGCACTTTCCCTAACCCTAATATAAGATTCACTACTGGCCTGTAATTCCCTGGGGTTCAAGTCTACCACCCATCATGACAAGCGAAACCACATTAGCTGTACTCCAGTCTTCTGACACCTTCCCCGTGGCCAAAGAGGAATTAAAAATTTGGATCAAAGCTCCTGTAACTTTCTCCCTGATCTCCCACATTTCTCTTACTTATCTTGTGATTTCCAGGTTAAGGTCATCATAATCCAGTTTCTGCTGAGGGCCCAGGGGTTTAGTAGGAACTGGATTACTGCTGCATACATCTATTTGATAGTTGAAGTTTCACCTACCTGGGGTTTAATGTTCACCTTCTTGGTTGAATTTTTATTCAGCCATTTCACATCCAGCTCAATATCAAAATGGCCAATATTACAAACGATCGCATCATCTTTCATTTCTTGAAAGTGCCTGAGTAGGTAAGGGGGAGAAGAGAGAAGAGAGCAATGGTGGGGAGTGGAACAAAACATTAATCAGGATTAAGACAATTTAAAAGTTAGGAAGCTTGTCAATGACAACTGTTTGAAGAGTGAAGAATTAGGAGGGTGTCCAAATTCTGCCAGATTGCCCAAAAATAACTTATCAAATCTACACTAATGATAATTTCTTCTGATCGCTCTCCTGATCTCTCGTCTCTGCCGATAGTGGGACTCAACTCAACGTTTGGGCACTCTTCTTGGTCGTTTGTGCTGAAATGTACTGGCTCTCCATCATAAAGGCAGAACAGGCGGTAGACATACGCAGATAAGCTGCTGAGGTTATGATGTAATTGACCTCAGTAGACATTTCCAGGTACCTCTATAACAGAGCAGGCTGCTCTGGTCTTACTATCATGTGCGGTATGCTAATATGGATGTAAGGGCACACTGTCAGTATGATGGAGACAGAGACCTAGCGAATGTGGTTTAAAAGTAGGAATCTAGAACAAAGAGGGAAAGAGGTACTTGCTTGCTGCAAAAAGTAGTGCGCTGAGTGGGGAGTTTGGTAAAAGGCAGAGAGGAGAACTTTGCTCTTCTATTCTTTTTCATTAAATTCATTGAAGGAACTGTTATTACGGATTTCTTTAAATCAGTATAAATTAGAAAAGCATATTAAAGTATGGCTAAATTTGGATTTAACTGAAAAACCCCAGGAATAAGGGAAAATCAGGGCCAATATAATAAAGTAACATAAGTAACCAAAAAGAATAAATTTGATGTAAAGAAAGTAATGTTGAGATATTGTAACAAAGCTTGGCCGAGTGCATTACATAGCCTGTTAAATGTGGGAAAGCAGGTACCCATTGGTGTCCTAGTTGACCACATGTGCAGGAAGTGTATTCAGCAACCTCAGTATCAGCAGATGCACTGCAGAAATTTGTCAAAGATCTTTAGATAGTGCCTTCCAAACCTATGCTCACTTCCGTCTGGAAGGACAGGAGCAGCACTTTCGTGGGAACACCAACAAAAGCAAATTCCCCTCCAAACCGCTCACCATCCTGACTCGGAAATATAATTGCCGCGCACTTACTGTCGCTGGGTCAAAATCCTCAAACTGCCTCTAGCAGAATTGAGAGTCTACCGATAGCACGTAGACTGCAGCAAATCAAGGAGACAGCTCACCATTTGGGTGTAAAGGAGGGCAGGAAGAAGAGAGAGAGAACGATACTGGTAGAAAATTTGATAATTAGGGTGACTATGACCATTTCTGTGACTGTGGATATGTATCCAGGATGATGTGTTTGCCTTCCTGGTGCCAGGGCCAAGGATGTCACAGATTGGTTTACGACATTCTTTTGCAGGAAGGTGAACAGCCAGAGATCATGGTCCATGTTGGTTTTGATACGAAGTGTGATTTGATCCTGCAATCAGAATTTAGGGAACTAGGCAGAAATCTAGCAAGCAGGACCTTAAATGTTATCTCCAGATTGCTCCCAGTGCCATGTGCAAGAGAGTATTGGAATAGGCAGATAAGGCAGATGAATGCATGGCTGTAAAGATGTTGTAGGATGGAAGGCTTTCGATTTCTGGGACATTGGGACTGGCTGAAAAAGACGGCACCTGTACAAACCAGAAAGGTTGCACCAAAATATGGAGCTGGAACTGAGTTCCTTGCCAGTCACTTTGTTAGTGCTGTTGGGAGGGTTTTAAACTCACTTGGCAGTGATGTGAGAACCAAGACAGAATATTAAGAGTTCACAAAATCTCTGAAACAGATAGTACTAACATAGAGAATAGCAAGTTCATGAGAAAAGTTAGGGTAAGGAAGATAATAAATGAACTGCAGCAGTTCACTGAAAAAACTGCACAAAGGTTAGCATCCCGTCACCAAGTCACCCTTTATTTACGCACGCACAGTACATGACACTGACAAACTAGCTCACAGCTGGCTCTTGGAGTGAGCAGAACGCCTGACACTGCTGTTTATATCTGACAGCTAGGACACACTGATTGGGAACACATTCTACAAGGTCCACCTGGTTGACCTCATTCCAATCACTACATCCCTCTCCGTCTAAGTCAGTGGACGTAGGTCCATTCTCCTGGGGCGTTCTTGTATCAGACTCTGCTTCAAATACAGGCAGCATGTACTGGACTATAGCTTGCCTCTTATGCCCAAAGCATCTCGGCTGAAATTCATCACCTTCTTCAGGCAGTAACAGCACTGAGGCTGCAGCATCTGCTGTGTCCATCTTGTTCTCAGAGGTTTGTTCGACGGTAGGGAGAGCATCCATGTGCTCCGACAGCCTTGTCGGATGATCTGAGGGGCCGGGTATGTTTTGCCCTGTCCCAGTTGTGAAGTTGCAGCTTTCATGTGAACCATATGCTTGTTCAGGACTGTTTCTGCTAACAAATTTTGTACGTCACGGGACCTGAACTGGTCTCACCAGGTCCAAAAACATTTCAATTCTGATTATGATGGCCCTTTTGTTTCCCCCATTACCCCCAACTGTTTTAGTTTTTCCAGGACAGGATTTTGGTGACAAAAACAGAAATTGCTGGAAAAGCGCAGCAGGTCTGGCAGCATCCGTGAAGAGAAATCAGAGTTAACATTTCAGGTTGAGTGGCCCTTGCTCAGAAGTCCACAGTCTGATATTATCAGCGATGACAGGAAGGGTGTCCAGAAAGTTTAAAACCAGAACAAGCTCTTCCAGTGGCAGCACCACTGGTGGTGTATCCACCAATGGGAGGCTGCTCAAGGCATTCACATTTGCTATTTGGCCTTCCGGATGGTGTTCCGACTTGTAAACATACGCACTCAGAATAAGAGCTCACCGCTGAATTCAACCTGAAGCTATGGGCAGCATGGGTCCAGTCCTCTTTAAGTAGCCCTAGAAGGGTTTGTGGTCCATTACTATTACAAATTTACATCTGTAAAGGTATTGCTGGAACATTCGCTCACCAAAGATGACAGCCAAACCTCCTTTCTCTATACAGGCATATTTTTGTTCAGCAGCATCCAAAATCCAGGAAGCATATGCTATCAGACCTTCATCTTCACTGGGCCACCAGCGAGCCAACACTATCCAGATAAGGCATCGCATGTCAGCACATCTTGCTTGGGATTTGTAGTGTGTCAACAGGTTACACATGATAGCTGCTTCTTCACTTCCCTAAAGGGTACATCTTGGCTACGAGATCATTTCCAAGGCTGACCCTTTTTCAACAACAGATGGAAGGGTGCCAGGATGGAGGCCAGGTTACATGTGCATTTTCCATAATAATTCACCAACCCAAGGAAAAACCTAAGCTGTAGTACAGACATGGGAGCTGGGGCACCTTTGATCACCCTCACTTAATCTTCCAACAGGTGTTATCCAGTCTCATCAACTCTGTTGCTCAATTAGGTCACTTGGCGTGCCTGGAACACCACCTTTCCTCCAAAGGTGTATACCTTTCTTGGAGGAACATTTAAGTACTATGTCCAAGTTCTCTCAATGCTCTTTATTAGTCATCCCTGTTGTTAGCATGTCATCCAGATAAATGGCGACCTGGGGTAAACCTTGCAAAACTTTCTCCATTGTCTGGAGACAACACCTGGACAACAAAGATACCTATGTCAGACTCCTGCTCATTGACTCCGTTTTCAACACCATTATCCCCTCCGGGCTGATCTCAAAACTGCGTGACCTTGGTCTCGGCTCTGCCCTCTGCAACTAGATCCTCAGCTTTCTGACCCACAGGCCACAATCAGTGAAAATACGGAACTGCATCTCCTTCACAATAATACTCAACATTGGAGCCCCCCCAAGGATGCATCCTCAGCCCCCTACTGTACTCCCTGTACACTTATGACTGTTTGCAAATTCTGAACGAACGCCATCTGTTAGTTCGCTGACGACACCACTGTAGTGGGACAGATATCTAACGAGTCAAAATACAGAAGAGACAGTGGGCTTGGTGACATGGTGCAATGAAAACAATCTGTCTCTCAACATCGGCAAAACTAAAAGAACTTATCATCGACTTCAGAAAGAAAGGAGGAGAACATGCCCTCATCTACATCAACGGAACGGAGGCTGAGAGAGTGAAGAGCATTAAGTTCCTCAGGGTGATGATAACCAACGACCTGTCCAAGACTTCCCATGTAAATGCAACAATCAAGGGGAACAAGTCTCTTCTTCCTCAGGAAGCTGAAGAAATTTGGCAAATGGCACTGCTGGGCCTTGCAGAATCATGGAATTGCTTTTTGGTCAACATATAATAATGCCAACAATATGGCATTGGCTCCTTTGATGGTCCCTGGACCTTGCTGAAAAACATCCGGGAATTTAATTAGGACTTCACTTAGGCAACCATTTTCTAATCAAAAACGTTGAGCCTATCAAGTTGAATCTGTCAACCAATTTCACCCCATCACGCTTGGGCCCCAGCCTTTTACTACAATCAGTGGTAACAATCACCTGTTTCTCATAAGACACCAGAACTGAAGTTATAACCTTAATCTATAGAGGTTCCCTGTCATAGGCCCTCAGTCTGGCCTAGGTCTTACATAAACTTACGGTTGGAGACCAGAATCAATTTTGGTAGTGTCTCCCACCCATCCTCCTCCTCTAACCAAAAAAAAGGTTCTGAGCGCCGATTTGGTAAGGTTACTAGTTTTTTTTTCAATAGTCTGTTTGGGAATTCAGAACAGGGGGAATGGAGGTTAGGGCAGTTGCATGCTCCTCCTGTAGAATGTGGGAGGTAAGGGTCACCACTAGTGTCCCCACTGACTTCATCTGCGGGAAGTGCACCCATCTCCAGCTCCTCGGAAACCGCGTTAGAGAACTGGAGCTGGAGCTGGATGAACTTCGGATCATTCGGGAGGCTGAGGGGGCAATTGAGAGGAGTTACAGGGAGGTAGTCACACCTCAGGTATAGGAAAAAGGTAGATGGGTTACAGTCAGGGGACGGAAAGGGAACAGGCAGACAGTGCAGGGATCCCCTGTG